TCTACAAACTTTTGAGTTTGTCACGAGACTTTAAATCGAAATCTCGTGGAATATCTCGGATTCAATATTTCGCGGTAAGGGTGAAACTTTCGCGAACGCTGTTCTTGTTTGCTTTCCAGCCCTGCTGGTGTTCTACGTGCCCTCCGAGTCGGGGGAGAAAGTCACCCTTGGTATCTCGGCCCTTCTGTCTATGACAGTGTTCCTGATGACCATCCGCGAAACTTTGCCACCCACGGAGAAGACGCCACTGATAAGTGAGTACTTTGTTAGTCATTTCTGATTGAAAACTTTAATTTGAAATTCGAAAACATTTCTACATATCCAAGATATTTTCAAAATATTACGATCCATCAATTTTTTTCTATGCTGTTATTATATTTGAATTATGATAAATATTTTTTCGGAATCATATTTTCGAATTTTAAAATCACTCGATTTTGTTAATTTGGAATTGTTCGACGCAAAATGTTATCGATACGATTTTTTTTGGTTCGCATTACCCTGCTTTTATGTTAGTTAATTTTAAAATTAACACTCTAAATTGGCTGTCGTAATTAGTTTGAAATTGACTTGAAAGCGACTAATGTAAGATCAGAGTAATGTAGAACCAGGGTTATAGTTGCTCGTTACTCATTAAAAAACCTGCGGGAAAGTGCACCTGGGATTTCCTTCAGACGCGGTTAGCCGTCTCTGCAAGATTGAATAGCGTCTCATTTCTGCTAATGTAGTCTTCAAAGAGGGATCCCGAAGGAGTGTGCTCAAAGAACAGCGAGAAAACCGAATAAAAATAGTCCGGAATCGTTACTCAAGTGGAGAAAGAATTTTGTTTAATGGTTAGACACACACAACGGTTTGTGTGGTAGACAATTTTCTTAACAAGATACAACGAGTGCATCATATTCAGCAAATTTCCTCAAATAGAAACAACAATATTTTATCCAAGATTCTTTTAATTCAATCTGTTGTATTTAATTTAAACATATTTATATATTTTAAATATGTTTAATTCAATATTTTATAAGAGAGATGAAATTTCATATTGTATAAAAATTCTTTGAATTGTTTTTGCATCTTTTAAAAACGGATTCGAAAGAGAAATAAATTTATTTTAAATTAAATAAACATTTACTGGTTAATCGTTATATGACCCCCTTAGTTGATATGTAGCATACGTTTAAAATTAGAGAAAATGCATTTGTTATAGAAGTAGAAAGTATAAGAATGTTTGTTTTATCAATCAATTTAATTTACTCTTATTTTGTTTTCATATTCATAAAAAATAAAAATTAATTTTACATCATAAATAAAATGACCGTAAAAAAAGCTGAACTTTAAATCACTATTCCAGTTTTTTTTACGATCACTTTATTTATAATGTAAAATTGATTTTTATTTTTTATGAAATACATAAAAACAAAATAAAAGTAAATTAAATTGATAGAGATAAAACAAACATTCTCATACTTTCTACTTTTATAATAAATGCATTTTTCCTAATTTTGGATTTATGCCAATTAAGCTTGTCAATTAAGGAATTTATATAAAAAGCGATGAAGAAATTAAATAAAGCTAACAAATTTAAACGAGTCCAAATTAAATGACTAATAATAGAATTTTACTTATATCAAAATGACAAAAAAATACTCACGAAACGTTTCAAACTTAACTTAGTCTTTCTGAGCCGTGAAAACATTACTTAAAGTTTTTACATGATTTAAATTTGTAATTTTTTACGGCTGAAAAGGACTAATTGTAAATTAAGTTTGAAACATTTTGCGAGTGGTTTTTGCTATTTTCAATGTGAATAAAATTATATTATTAATCATCTAATTTGGACTCGTTCAATTTTTTTACCTTCGTTCAATTTCTTCATTGCTATTCTATCTATCCGTACTTTTCCTTTTGATGCTTTCAGGTCTTTACTATGGCGTCAGCATCTGTCTGGTGTCGTTCGCATCCGGTCTAGCGGTCGTGACGTTGAATTTGCATCACCGTGGTGTGCGGGGCATTCGCGTACCAAGTATCGTGAGATCGCTGGTCTTAGACAAATTAGCCAGGATAGTATTTCTGAATTTCCAAGAGGAGAATAGATCGGTAAAACGGACGCACGTAATGCAGATGCATATTTCAGTTTCTTGTAATACGCGGAGCATTTTGCAAACCACCATCCAGTTTCCTATTTAAATATAATAAAATTGGGCCAATATTCCGTTGTGGGCGAGATTCTGATTCAGATCGATCGGATTAATAATTCTGAGAATTGTGCAGCTTCCTGCGGATATATAATAGCGTAAACAGGGTCGGCGTCAGCCGTTCGTTCCAGCATACATAAATAAAACGATATAACGGAAGATGGAGCCTTCAATACTGTATAAAAGAGTAAAAGAATAGATGTGGTGTAAAGGAACTGAAAAGTATACATATAATCGATTAAAAGACAATAAGAAATTTATAAGTGAAAGAGAACGTTTAAAATGTAAATTATGAACAATATGATAAAATTTTATGAAATAGATTTTAACTATTAATAAAAAAAAATATGAAAAATAGATCGAGAGAGATATAAACTTTGTCTCCGAATGTATTTTGATTATACGAACGTCTGTAGCTGATTCTAAACGTAAACGAATAACGTATTGCACCTCATCGAGAGAAAGTTTCGCGGTTGATACAATTTCTAAACACGAGCCCGCTATTACTCTGTTCTATAGAAAAGTTACAGCGCAATCATCAATATGATATCACAGCGATTTATTATATCAGCAGGAGCCAACGGAACAATTCCCGAGAAGAAAGAACAATTGTCCGCTGCACTGTAAACCTGAACTGCCGGAACAGCACGTATCTCCCAAATATCTATCGAGGAAAGACGATAGTAACAGTTCTAGTCCCAGTTTAGGTGAGTCTGTGATAAAGACAACTAAATTTATTAAAATGTCAGTGACTTATTAAAAGGCACGAAGTTACACGATTGAAAAAGTCGCTTAGCTTTTTTTAGTTCTCATAACTTTGGTTTTTTTAAAAAATATTAATGTTATTCATAATTTAATGTTATTCATTATTACATTCTCAAACGTATATTTATATTATTTATCTTTAAGTGTATTTATTAATTTATCTCCATGTTTATATATTATATTATAAATTTATATATGTTTATATATTATATATTATATTGTAAGAATTGTATAAAAGTCAATTTTCTTCTAGAATAAAATAAGTTTCTCGTCCATTCTTTCTCATAAAACCGTTATTTTAGAATTGCAATTTTATACAATTTTTATTTTCTATATTTTTATAAATTCGTTGTAACTCAAAAAAATCACAAAAATTTCACAAAAACTGAAATATGTCTTTCTAAAATAATCATATCGCTTTTGTGCAACGTGTAACTTGATTACGAAATATTTACTTTCATTTGCAATCAAGCGTAACGATCTGATATATTTCTTGTTTCAAATATCCTGTCGTTCTGATTATACTTTAGTAGTCTGTCCATCTAGTTTGGTCTGATCTAGTTTTTTTAGACAGCTTATTTGTACCGTGTGATCAATATATATTATGAATCCTGTCGAACGATCGCACAGATCTCGGAAAAGAAGGCGGCCTTGAGACGCATTGGTCCCGAGTCCTGGGAAGAGTGCACGCGACCATCGAGAGGAACGAGCGGCGCCTGGTCGAGCAGGATCGTCGGGAAAGGACAGAGTTAGATTGGAAACAGGTCGCCTTGGTCAGTGATCGTGCTCTGTTGTGCGTTTTCTTGCTTACGACGATCGTCAGCACGGCGGTGATTTTATGCGGCTCGCCCCCGACTCCGGATGCGTCCAAAGATGGGTAATCCTTGGACTACCGGTTCGACTAACCGTTTGATGGTTGGCGAACAACGCTTTTCGAAGATCACCGATGATTTTTGCTTCAGATAATTTTGTTTATAATATAATGGGAAGAACGATTTTACTAAAAGATTAAAAGTTTTTTGCTGAATATAGATCTGAAAATAATTTTATTGGAAATTCAAACTGATAGCTAAAATAATACTTTTTGCAGCATTGGTCATCATTTTTTAGTTTCCAACATGATTACTTGACGATTCAATAAAATTATTTTCAGATCGGTATCCAGCAAAATTTTAGATCTTTCAGCAAGATCGTTCCATATACTAAAAAAAATAAAATTTAGCAGGCTCATTGATATGACAAATAAATGAATATTTTTCGTTACTTGTTTTATAACAAAACATGTGTTAACTCGTGCAAAAAGTAAGTGAATTTTTGAAAACTAAAGTGGGAAGCTCTATTTTATTTGCTGATATTATTAATAGAAAGATCATTTTAACATAAGTCCAGTGTTTCTTCGTATGTTTCTTGAATGAAATATCGTGTAATTTTAGATAAATGTGACGTGTTTAGAAAACGAAGTATTTATCTCTTGAACAGAGGTGAATTTAGGGTACATAAAACCGCTGTTTATTAACTTCGGCAACACATTAATTTCTTTCTTTCTAAATAAATATTAGTAGTTTCTTAAGAATTTACGTATCTTAAATTATAACTTAAATTCGCCTCTGTTCTCTCAACGTTTCCTTTTTTATATCGAACGAACGAAGAATAATTTCGAATAGTTGAAACTGTAAATATATCTGTATCGAATTTATCACAGTATACGTAAGTCTATCGAGAGGTAGTGAATTCGTAAAAACTCATTAATGTGTCAAAAATGTGTTTATCGATATAAAATATCAATATTTAGATTTAGAAATGAGCATTCTTTATGGATAAGAACACATTATCTAATAATAAAACGATAGATGTATTATCAATATTGAGATGTACTAAAAAAGGGGTAAAAGTATAATTTATGACATAGTAGGAATAAATAATGAAATAGATTTTATTTATTTAACAAATGAAATCCCCCATAACCACATTTTTAAATTATTAAGTTCTTTTAAATTGACTTTTTCTTATTTATGTAAAAGTATTTATCAATTTCGTGCATTTAGTAAAAATATATAAAATATATTAGTACATAATAAATATATAAAAGCTTAAGAATCTTTAATAATAATCAGGTACAGGTGCACAAGCTATTTTTACAAAGTCTTCATATTTCACGTGTCCGTTCAGAGACACATTGGCCTCACGGAAGATTTGCTCCACTGCAATAAACAATAACATACTAAATACAAAATCTATGATTAATTATTGTTTTGCCTACTTTGCCATTCAATTTTTCTTTTGAGTGAAGCAAAATCTGTGATTAATTATTTATTGCTTTATTACCTTCTTTACTACTCAATTGTTCTCCCCAGTGAAGCAACATATGCGCCAACTGTCGTGCTGGAATAGTGCCGCTGCGAGAGGTATCAGCAGCTTGAAAAGCTTTTATCACTTCTTTCGGTAGATCCTCCGCACGAGTCTGAAGATGCATTACCTCCAGGAAATCGGCAAAGGACATTTTTCCACCTAGAATCGACATAAAAGATATTTTCATTTGCCTGTACAAAGTTTCTCTGATCTTTAAAACATTTAGAGTGAATCTCACTCTAAAAAATGAAATTGTACTCTTAAAGATTCAAGACTCTTATTCAAGACTGGCTCAGTTTTCACTCTTTAGAGTAAGATTCCACTCTAAAGAATTCAGAGAGTGGCAAAAGCTTGTACTGAATATTGTAGCCTATGGATTACCTTTGTCCTTCATGTACTTGTTCAATTCTGCAATGGTCGGACTCAGTCCCAAAGATCTCATAATTATAGTGAGCTCGTCAAGCGTGCGAATTTGACCGCTTCGGGCAAACAGGTAGAAACATTCTCGGAACTCTGCAAAAATAATAATTTCAAATCAGCTCGTTCAATTTATTTCAGCTGTACGATAGGCAGTGGTAATCTCGCAACGATTTCAAAACGTACCGTCTATATCCTCTTCTCTGAAGTAACGCGCCTGCAACAATTACATACTGGATGAGATACGAAGAGTAAAGCAGAATGCATATTAAGTAAACTTGGTTGTGCAAAGGAAAAAGCTAAACGAATAAAACCGTGCATGAAACATGTCGAAAGTAGATCGAGTCCCAGAGAATCAAGAAATTACGTTCTAAATAGATCTCAGAATTGTTGACAGAATTATAATATATATCGGGATTACCATGATTGATTAGATTTACACAGATCGCGTTTCTTTCTTGAGTGTCGGATCTTGACGCGATTTTGTTGATTTTGACACAACAGGTGTTTGACGCGAACGTAACCTCACTTGCTCTCCCTACGTCGCTTGTAACAGAGCGACATCGTTCGTCGGGAGATTCTACTAGAAATCCTGATTGCGCAACCTGTGCAAAGGAAGGTCAATGGTCCCAGCTGTCGAGCTGTCGTCGAAACACAATTTTAGAATGCATGACTTTTTAACGAAAGTCCGCAGAAACTTTCAAACGCGGATTTTTGTAGAAGCGATCTTCGATAAATTCAAATCGAGCACTTTTAACGAGTAGAGAGTCGACTTTTTTGAGAAGGAAAGATGCTCAAAGGAAAAAGATTTGATCGAAAGGGCAATTTAAGAATATATTAGGGCAAAATATAATTAACCCTTTGGTGCTACTATATGTTTTGTACCTACTATATGCTTTGTCACATATACAATACACACTGCAGGGTATTGTGTAAAAATATCGCGTAAAAATGAACATATATATTTATAACATTTTAAAAAATCAAAACGCGATATTAAAGAACATAATAATATATATAGTAATATATATAATAATATATATATATAGTAATATAATATAGTAATATAATATATAGTTTAGAGGTAGGCATATATTTTTATTTTGTTTTATTTTTATGTTTAATGTCAACGTTATTATATGTACATTAAAATTTGTTTGTTTTGGCTC